TGCACACATCATTATCTTTTATCTATATATAAATTTTATATATCATATTTACGTGAAATCTTAATTATTTATCTTTTTATTTTTAATAGTTAAAATTTATTCACATTTACTAAAAATAATTATCTTTTTTATCTAAAAATCATGATAAATTTCAATAATTAAAAGTGAAAAAATGAATAGTAAAAAAAAATTTTAGGTAAGTGTAATAAATAAGATTTATATAAGTGTAAATGGATCCCTTATAGATATGAGAAAACTACTTATATATCATGTTTATATAAAATTTTAATAATTCATCTCTTTATTTTTAATAGTTGAGATTTATTTATATTTATTAAAAATAATTATCTTTTTACTTATGACAAATTTTAATTATTAAAAATAAAACAAATAAATTATTAAGATTTTATATAATATTTATGTGAAAATAAATTTTTTTCGCACATATATATGCATAGATAGAGAGAGAGTGCATTCCTACTTTATAATTATAAACAGTTAAAGAGATACTGAGTAAATGTTTGTTTAAATGGGAGTGATAAATTAGAGCGGCAACATGGTCTATTAAGAATAACTATTCTTTACCTGCTTCAAAACAAGGTGGGAGTAGTTATTATTTTGTAATTAATTTTATTTATTTAAAAACTAACACAAAATATTATATATATTTTTTTGTTTTTTATTTTTTGTTTTTTCACAAAATATTATATATACTTACGAAGTAGTTAACATCACCCCATATCACGTGCTATAAATATACATTACGACATGAAAACTTCATCACAAACCATAAAAATTGCCCTAACACCCAGATCTAATGAAAGTCGGAAAAAGTATTTTTCTTTTCAGCGGGTTATTCAAGTACGACGATAGTTAGGTACGATAAAAAATATTTTATCTTAAATTTCATGTACCATATCAGCTGGGAACTTGGCCCACAGCACTATCATTTCATGGGGTGGCCGAGTTTAATTCAAACGGACCTAAACCTGCCGAAGATGTAGAGGTAGACGAGACTTGCTATTAGCGTGAGCATTTTGGCAAGGTATATTCCTTATCTATTAATATTTTATTTTTCAAGATAAATATT